CAGAAGCTGGGCCTAACAGTGGGAGTGCACCCTGCTCCCCGGATTCAAATACCCGACCTTTCGGTCAGCAAGTTCACCAGCTCAGCAGTTTAACCCGCTGCGCTACTGGGGGCTGCCAGTTCTAACCTCAGTAAATGTGGAGGACTGACTGTATTCCACAGTATGTAGTGCAGTCATAATGTATCTAATCAAGATTTCTGGCAACATCATCCAGCAATACAAGATGTTTGTAACGTACTACTCAGCTTAACTTAAAAGCATGAGCTACTGAAATGTCTGCATACTTAAAACCAACAGCTGAGACTTATGTGGAGTGTAACAGTTGAGCTGGAAAAGCACAGAACAACATAACCTTGGGGGGAAAGGACTTCTGCATGCGAGGATCAGAGCAACACATAGACCTTGCACATGGTCACAATGCCCAGAGGCTAATTTCCATGACATTATTAGCCCTCTTAGTGGATGGAACACGTGGACTTACTTTGTTCGCCTAATCATGGTTATATTGACCTATAAATTTAAAGCTACAGTTTTGCATTCACTCAACACTGATTAAGTCCCTTCTGAGAAAATACTTTTTTTTTGTCGTGTCAAGAGAGACTTGAGAATCTGCAAGTCACTTCTGGTGTGAGAGAATTGGCTGTCTGCAAGGACGTTGCCCAGGGGACGCCCGGATGATCTGATGTTTTATCATCCTTGTGGGAGGCTTCTCTCATGTCCCCGCATGAGGAGCTGGGGCTGGTAGAGGGAGCTCATCCGCCTCTCCCCAGATTCAAACCTACGACCTGTCGGTCTTCAGTCCTGCCAGCACAGGGGTTTAACCCACTGCGCCATCGGGGGCTCCATGCTGTAAATTCAGCATGAGAACATGCTGAATTTACAAGATTGCCCTCCTAATCAATTTTCTATCTGTTAGAAAAAGGTAATAGCGCTCCATGCAGTCATGCTGGCCACATGGACATTGGAGGTGTTTATGGACAACACCAGCTCTTCAGCTTAGAAGTGGAGATGAGCACCAACCCCAGAATCGGACACGACAGGACATAATGTCAGGGAAAAACCTTTACCTTTACCTTAGAATATGCCAAGTGACTCAAGCTAGGATTCTGCATGTTATCACAGTTGTTCACTCATCTCAGAAAGAAACATATGGCTTGGTCAGAGTATGATTTCTTATGTTCATTCTCTTGTTATTTCTACTTCTTAGGAAAGCAGATGGGAATGCCTAGCATTGACTAGCTAAGTTTTCTCAGCAGCTTGAAACGTTTGAGATTCTTTCCATTACTGTTGCAAGCTACCAGTGATCCCAGTCCACACAATGCATTTACATGGGCTTATCTCAGTCATGCTCTATCCTCCCAGAAAAAGTAAGTGGAAGAGACTAGTAACCGAACTCATTGCCAATATAGAAAATTTACTACTGCAGCAACCTGGATAATGGCAAGTCAGAGGTGCTTGAAGTCATCCAAAAATGGAAACTCCATACCTCTCAATGCAGTCCTTTCCATGTGCAAACAGGTTACACTGCCATGAGCAGATTGTGGACCACCTGGAACCCCAAGAACTGTTTTTGTGGGTCACACTCCAGGTTAATTTTTATTCCTTCCCACAATTAGAATAATAGAGTTGGAAGAGACCACGTGGACCATCTAGTCCAGAGGTCCTCAAACCAAGGCCCGGGGGCCTGATACGGCCCTCCAAGGTCATTTACTCGCCCCTCGCTTAGGGTCAACGTAAGTCTGAAATGATTTGAAAGCACACAACAACAATAACAACAACAACAACAATCCTATCTCATCAGCCAAAAGCAGGCCCACACTTCCTACTGAAATACTAGTAAGTTTGTATTTGTTAAAATTATTCATCATTTTAATTATTGTATTGTTTTTAAGTGTTTTTGCACTACAAATAAGATATGTACAGTGTGCATAGGAATTCAAATTATGTGTTCTTGTTGTTTTCAAATTATAATCCGGCCCTCCAACACTTTGAGGGACTGTGACCTGGCCCTCTGTTTAAAAAGTTTGAGGACCCCTGATCTAGTCCAACTCCCTGCCATGCAAGAAAAGCACAATCAAAGTGCCTATGCTTAAAAGCTTCTAAGGAAGGAGATGCCACTACACTCTGAGGCAGAGAGTTCCACTGCTGAACAGCTCTTACTAATGTTCAGGTGGAATCTCCTTTCCTGTAGTTTGAACCCATTGCTCCAAGTCCTAGTTTCCAGGACAGCAGAAAACAAACCTGATCCCTCTTCCTTATGGACTGTTGGACTTTGGATCTAGACACCAACATTAAATTCCCTGGTCAGCCATTGAAAGTCCCTAAGTGATGTTGGGCAAGTCACATTCTCAGCCTTAGAATCATAGAGTTGGAAGAGACATCATGGGCCATCCAGTCCAACCCCCTGCCAAGAAACAGGAAAATCACATTCAAAGCACCCCTGACAGATGGCCATCCAGCCTCTGTTTAAAAGCCTCCAAAGAAGGAGCCTCCACCACATTCCAAGGCAGATAGTTCCACTGCTGAACAGCTCTCACAGTCAGGAAGTTATTCCTAATGTTTATCTCCTTTCTTGTATCTCCTTTCTTGTAGTTTGAAGCCATTGTTCTGTGTCCTAGTCTCCAGGGCAGCAGAAAACAAGCTTCCTTGGAGGAAGGCAACAGCAAACCTCTTCTGAACTAATATTGCCAAGAAAATCCTCTCTTAGGTTTGCTTTAAAGTCACCATAAGTTGCAAAGGGCCTGAGGCTGTTAGGAATGGTGGGAGTTGGAGTCCAACACACCTGGAGGGGCCAAGTTGGCCCATGTCTAGTTTATAGCTTATTTGGGGCCATTTCCCCTCCTCCACCTCCTTTGCACCCCAAGAAACAAACCCTCCGGCTGCTCACTTGCCAACAGCCGAGTCACTCCCTTGTCGCAGCAGACAACACCCAGATCTGGTATCTGCAGCAAGGATTGGGCAGTTCGCTCTGCTTTACACCCAAATTGCTCACCTTCCCAATCCACACACACACACACACACACACACACAGATAAATACACTTCAACAGCCACATCTATCAAGATAAGAAGCCTCCCTACAGGTTGGTATCCGCGCTCAATGAGATACGCAAACCCTGCGCTCATTCACACAAGCAGCTAAGAGGGCGTGTTTCTAGGTGAATCCACACTGTAGAATCAATGCAGTATGCTTCTAGATTGCTGTGAGTTTTCCGGGCTGTCTGGCCATGTTCCAGAAGCATTCTCTCCCAAAATTTCACCCACATCTATGGCAGGCATCCTCAGAGGTTGTGAGGTCTTCTGGAAACTAGGCAAGTGAGGTTTATATGTCCGTGGAATAATGTCCAGTGTGGGAGAAAGAACTCTTGTCTGATTGAGGCAAGTGTGAATGTTGCAACTGGCCACCTTGGTTAGCACTAAATGGCCTTGCAGCTTCAAAGCCTGGCTGGTTGCTGCCTGGGGGGGTCCTTTATTCGGAGATGTTCCAACAGACCTTACAACCTCTGAGTATGCATTGAATGGCCTTGGTTAGCACTGAATGGTCTTGCAGCTTGAAATCATGGCTGCGTCCTGCCTGGGGGAATCCTTTGTTGGGAGGTGTTAGCTGGCCCTGATTGTTTCCTGTCTGGAATTCCCGGGTTTTTTGGGGTTTTTTTTGTTTTGCTCTTTATTTACTGTCCTGATTTTAAAACCTACCGTATACCATGAATCCACATAGGGACCACCAAGCGCCACAAATCAAGGCACATGAAAGGCACTGCAGATTTATTGAACCAGATAATTCAGCTATAGCAGAACACCTGATGAATCAACCTGGACACAGCATATTATTTGAGAACACAGAAATGCTGGACCACTCTAACAACTTCTATGTCATGCTACACAGAGAAGCCATTGAAATACCACTCTCACAACCACCACGTCAGACTACACAGAAATCTATAAGCATGTGGACAATGTCAACAGAAAGGGGGAAACCATGAAAATGAACAAAATCTGGCTACCAGTATTTAAAAAACTCAAAAATCAGGACAGGGAATGAAGAGCAACACTTAAAAAGCAGGGGAATTCCAGACAGGAAACAATCAGGGTCATAGAACCCCCCCCCCCCAAAGTATGGGCCATATAACGCCCCCCCAAGTATCCCTCCAGGCAGGAAGCAGCCAGGCTTCGAAGCTGCAAGGCCATTCAATGCTAATCAAGGTGGCCAATTCCAACAATCAGGGCCATATAATCCCCCCCTCCAAAGTATCCCTCCAGGCAGGAAGCAGCCAGGCTTTGAAGCTGCAAGGCCATTCAATGCTAATCAAGGTGGCCAATTCCAACAATCACGGCCATATAACCCCCCCTCCAAAGTATCCCTCCAGGCAGGAAGCAGCCAGGCTTTGAAGCTGCAAGGCCATTCAATGCTAATCAAGGTGGCCAATTGCAACATTCATAGAATCATAGAGTTGTAAGAGACCTGGTGAGCAATTCAGCCCAACCTCCTGCTAAAAAACAGAAAAACTGCATTCAAGGCAACAGACAAGAGTTTTAATGTATTGTCAAAGGCTTTCATGGCTGGAATCACTAGGTTCTTGTGAGTTTTTTTCGGGCTATATGGCCATGTTTTAGAGGCATTTTCTCCTGACGTTTCGCCTGCATCTATGGCAAGCATCCTCAGAGGTAGTGAGGTCTGTTGGAGTTAGGAGAAGACAAGAGTTTTTTCTCCCACCCTGGACATGCCACCTCACTTGCCTAGCTTCCAACTGATCTCACAACCTCTGAGGATGCCTGGGTGAAATGTCAGGAGAGAATGCTTCTGGAATTCAGCCAGACAGCCCTGAAAACTCACAACCATGAAAGCCTTCCACAACATAGTTTGATTCTGCCTCAACTGCCATGGGATCTTGGAATGTGTAGTTTGGCAGACTAGGATGCCAGAGCATCCAGCCATGGCAGTTAAAGCGCTCTCAAACCGCATCAATTCTGCAGTGGAGAGGCCCCTTTGGTGCTGCTTACCCAGCCTCCCGAAAGGCAGCCTGTTCCTCTCTCCCAACATGAGGTTAAACCGGGGGTTGTCTCTCTTCAGCCTTTTCCATTGTCCGGTGGAGAGGAGGATCTTGGAGACTTCGGCGTAGACGCTGCTGTTTTCGTCTCGGACCACAAAGGTATACATCTCTCTTGGAAAATCCGGGTTTCAGGAATGCGCAAAGCGGACCCGAGCCGGATCAGGGCCAGTGGAGGCAGGGAGCGCCCTCTCCAAGAGCAGGAGTCTCTCCGGCAGCTCCCCAAATCCAAAACAAACCAACACCAAACCAGGAAGGTTGAGTCAAAGCATCCCAAGAGCAGGGAGGGACCTCTCCCTTGGGAGGAGAGCAAGGTCTGGATCCCGAGAGGTGGGGAAGCACCAGTTGAAAAGGGTCCCACCTCCTCCTGCCTCTTCTGGGATGGAGGAGGAAGGCGTGCGCGCCTGGCTTAGCGGGGACTCTTGCCCAACCCTGCCTGGGAATCTCCCTTCCAAGGCGGAAAGACGGGGGTCCTCCCTCGGCCTCAAGTCCCGGGGAGGGTCGCCTTCCTCTGCCCGGAGAAGGGACCCCCTTTTCCGCCCACAACCCGCGTGGGAAGCGAGTTTCTTCTTCTTCTCCTTCTCCTTCCCCGGTGGCTCCTCCTCCCCAGCCCGCCGTCATCTGCTTTCGCGCAGGTCATGGAGCAAGAGGCGGGCTTCAAGAGCCTGGGGGGGGGGGGGGCTGTTTGTGGACTCCAACTCCCAGAATCCCCTGCCCACACCGCCAGCGACCGTCGGAGTTTCTGACTAGCAAGGAAATGGGGGGCACCTACACTGCAGAATGGATGCAGTCTGGCTCAAAGCTTGGGAATTATAGGAGTTGTGGTCTTACTAAGATCTTTAGCAGACATAGGCAAACTTGGGACTGCAAATTGTGGACTGCAACTCCCACAATCCCTAACAGCCCCAGGACCCTCTCTTTGCCCCTCAGCCCTCCAGATGTATTGGACTCAGGGGCGGCTCGTCCATTACGCAAAGTAAGCGGTCGCAGAACACTTTTTTTGCCAGGGGCGCAGAGGCACCTCTGTAAATGCCCCTCGACCGCCACTTGAGGAGCCCCCTCAGCTCACAACAGCCCTGGCAGTCCGGGGGGAGCCTCGGCTTTCTTGCCGCGCTGCCGGGCGATCCTCTTCCCAAAGGGGCCGGGCCCTTGAGCCTCACCTACCCCCTCCCGTTCCTGCTCCACCCCGCCACTGGGTGCACGAGCAGAGCCGGCACTCAATCGTTCTTGGTTCCAATGGCTGAGGAGAAAGTCAGGAGAAGAGGTGACTTTTGGTGCACACGCCGGGGTCTTCAGGCATGCCTCCGGACCCAAAGCGGGCCAGGCAAGGGAGCAAGTGCGGCAAGTGTAGTTACTGGGATGTATAGTTCACCTACAATCAAAGAGCATTCTGAACTCCACCAATGATGGAATTGAACCAAATATGGCACACAGAACTCCCACGACGAACAGAAAATATATATCAATGATTGGTTGGGGCGGGGGGGGGGCACCAAAATACTGTTTGCTTACCGTTGAAAATTACCTAGGGTCGCCTCTGATTGGACTGCAACTCCCACAATTCCTAACAGCCCCAGGCCCCTCCCTTTGGCCCTTCAGCCCTCCAGAGGTTTGGACTGCAACTCCCACCATTCCTAACAGCCTCAGGCCCCTCCCTTTTGCCCCTCAGCCCTCCAGGTGTTTTGGACTCCAACTCCCACCATTCCTAACAGCCTCAGGCCCCTTCCTGAGGCTGTTAGGAATTGT